GATGCAGTGCCTCCGAGAAAAAGATGCTTATGAATTGTCCGCGTTGCGAAGGGAGAATGCTAATTTCAGAAGTGAAATCAGAACCTACATCCCTTCCCAAGTTACACCCTTTTTCACTAACAAGAAGAATCATCAGCCCCGCAAGAAAAGTCGAGGACCATTCAGCGGCAGACGAGGGCTAGCCCCTCAGTTGCGAGGGATAGACTTCCAGGCCGTAGCCCCTTTACTCAGCAGACTTTGGAAGCGAGATTACTAGACAACTGGAAAAGTTTGCGCTGAAAAAATATGATGGAACTTATGATCCTGAGGAGAATGTGGATATATTCACTACCCAAGTTGGCCTTTATGCTGAATATTTCCGACATCGCTCCGTGGACTAGCTCTCAATTGGTTCACTAGATTACCGTCCGCTTCCATAGACTCGTTTGCGACGCTTGTCACGCGCTTAAATTTGTAATTCGCCACCAGTCGTCCTCATCAACTGACCTCGTTAGCTATGGTTAATATTCGTCAAGAGAAGAAGGAAACACTTAGGGCGTTTATCAAACGTTTCGGGCAAATGGCCCTCTCTATCCGAAACTTGAATCCGTCAGTCGCGATGCACCATCTCACAACAGCCCTTAAGTCAAGTCCGTTTGTCAACAGTATCTACAAAAAAAACCCTGTTGACTTAGATGAACTACGTTGCTGAGCAACTAAGTACATGCAGATGGAAGAACTAGCCGAGTTCTGCAACCAAGCCTGGATGGAGCAAGTGCCCAGTCAAAGAGAATCTGAAGGGAACGAGCACTCAAAAAACAAACACAGAAACAAGAACCAAAAGATCAGAGCTGAAAGTCTCTCGAGGGGGCCTAGGTATGCGAGTTACACAATGTTAAACACCAATCAGTTCAAGGTACTCAAGCAAGCTTTAGCAACAGAGATATTGACAATACTGAAGCGCGCAAACACTTCCACTCAGTCTAGAAATTGTTCTTTGTAAATTTAGTGCACTCTTGCCTCACTCGGGTTTTATCTTCTTAAAAGAACATGAAAGAGGTTTTCCCGATAAGGTCTTTAACGAGACACTTCATTAATAAAATGACAGAACTTTCTTTACAAGTAACAGTCTCTTATTCTCAATATTCCCTTCTGGGTACCTCACTCGACTAAGGTTGAATCAAAATTCCCTCCAAGTACCTCACTCTGCTAAGGTTGAATCAATATTCCTTCTCAAGTACCTTACTGGGCTAAGGTTGAATTAAATATTCCCTCCTGAGTACCTCACTCAGCTAAGGTTGAATTGTCATCACCTCTTGGATATCTTGCTTAACCAAGATTCAGTTATTTCCTCTAGACAACTTATCTCAATTAGTTTATTTTTCCAAGAACCTTGTTTGGTTTGATTATTTTATCTCCTAACAATCCCCCTCGGTTAAGGGAGAATTTACATTTACCCATTCGGTTCAAATGTTCGCAGATGCTTACTATGAATGATTACTACCATGTAACTTATTCGGTTCAAAATATTAACTAGCTGCAAATATCGTGGTTACTAATCATTTTTAACTTGTTCATTTTTAGCCATGCATAATGTCATCAGCGAAAATTTCATTAGACACTTAACAAAATTTTATTAAAAAAGAAACTTGTATATTCCAAATGAAGAAACTAAAAGGCTGGGGTCTTACAAAAATGGGTGCTAATGGCCCAGAACATACAAAAATACGTATAAACCCCTTTCAGCATAATTCATCTTTTAGACTAATGATCCCCCGCGATTTCACTATATTCGGTTGTTACTTCATTTAAAACCTGAGCCGACTCCTCCCTTTCAGTTGATACTCCATTTAGGGGTTCAATTATTGAACCACTCCTAACCTTATCAATTGGACCACTACTCGCCCAGATGCTGATAATGAGTCTTCCCACTCTATTTCCCTCTCCATTTGTAAAAACTAAGAACAAAACTCAAAAATGGTTAGGCGCACATACCTGAAATGCAAATTACAGAAGACTCAGACTAGAATAATATAGACCCCTTTGGTGCAGAGGAAAAGTAAGTATTCCACATTGCCCAGACCCCCTCTTTTATAGTGTGAAAGGCATTAGGCAAATGAAAAGTTGCCTATCTTCCTAACCGTCAAATCTAATGAGCATCAGCGATCATAAAAACCCAACATTTTTGTTTCATAACACGAAATATGAGGTGACATCACCTCTGTATCTACTAGTTCTAAAAGAAATCTTAATTCAAGCCCTTACGTTATACCTCCTTGGGCTTGCCGTATAAGTGTACCAGATAAGGAACTATTCGGTCATCCTTAAATAAATCAAGAACCTAACACCCTTTCAACCTCACTTCTGGACGAGGGATACCAACACCCTTTTGACCTCACCTTGGGATGAGAGGTACCAACACTCCTTCAGTCTCACCTCTGGATGAGGGGTACCAACACCCCTTCGATTTCACCTCTGGACAAGGGGTACCAACACCCTTCGGCCTCACTGCCCCTTCGAGGGGTACCAACACCCCTTCAGCTTCACCACCTCTTCGGTGTCACCTCTGGAGGAGAGGTACCAACACCCTTTCGACCTCACCACCCCTTCGGCCTCACCTTTGGACGAGGGGTACCAATACCCCTTTGGCCTTACTCTTAGATGAGAGGTACCGTCGTCCCTTCAGTTATATCAAAATAAATTAATAAGTTAATGAAGGTAAATAACCAATAAAGAAAAGGTTAATTATCCAAGAAGTCAGAAAGTTAATTTAGGGCTAACTCATCAAGCCTATTAACTTAATATTATGCCTATAAAAGAAAAGCAAGAAAGACAAGTAAAGGAGAGACTTCAGAATATTTAATAGTAAGCTTAATTATGTTTTTGGTCCCTATAAATATAGGTCTTTTTGTTATTAGTATCTACAAATATTTTTGTTAGGAAGTGACCCTTCTAAAGTTGGTAATTTAAGAATTGGTCCCTGCTGTTAACCCTTCCTCTGTTAAGTGCTGAGCTGACTAACCATTAGCCAGCTCAGCACTTAACAGAGAGAGTTAACAGCAGGGACCAAATCCTAAATTACCAACTTTAGAAGGACCATTTTCTGATAAAATATTTGTAGGAACTAATCACTAAAAGAACTATATTTATAGGGATCAAAAACATAATTAAGTCTTAATATTATTTATTGTTCTATACCGAATACTTACTTGACCATCGGAGTGCCATTGCAAGTACCCTCTCCTCGTTAGCCAGCAGCACTTAACAGAGGAAGGGTTAACAGCAGAGACCAATTCCTAAATTACCAACTTTAGAAGGACCACTTTCTAATAAAATATTTGTAGGGACTAATCACAAAAATAACTATATTTATAAGAATCAAAAACATAATTAAACCTTCATAGTATTCATTACTCTATACCGAATACTTACATGAACGTCGGAGTGCCATTGCAGGTACCCTCTTCCCTACGAATAAGGAGAATTTGAAATATTCTATAAAGACGTCACAGCAGTACGCAAGAATAGAAGTTACAGTGAATGAGTGTATCCTTTGTACTGAATTAAATTTCAAAAGTTATTTATAAATCATTCTTAAAATTTAATTTATAGAAAATATAAAATAATGTTAAAAAATTAAATTTTAAAAGTAATTTGTAATTATCTTCTAAAAATTTAATTTTAGAAGGTATGAAATCACTTTTCAAAATTTAATTAAAAATTAATTTTTAAGTACCTTCCATACTATGTTTAGAATATATTCAATATATTTTTAAAAATTAATTTTTAAAAGAACAAAAAAAGGGTAGAAATAATATTTCAAAAATACAGTCTATCATATTGGACCATTTAGTATTTTATACCAAAAATATAAAATAATCTAGTATAATATATTATATGATTTTTTTTAACGTGCGACAAAAGACATTATAAGAATCTACGTGTAATAAATTTTTATTAAAAATCATACAATATCATTGAATTTAATATATTGATAATATGAAATATTATAATTTTTTAATAAAAGCTTGTCTATTGGTATCTTATCACGTATCCTTCGACACACATTAAAAAATACTATATATTATAATTTGTTTTGTCTGAGTTATCATAAACTTATTTGTCAAACTTCGTTTATATATTAATAAATAACCCAATTAGACAATGGGAATGAGACTAGACTCGATTAAATTTTTAAGCATTCTTCTTTTTTTTTTTCTCAATAAATGTTTACTTATTAACTAGTATAAGAACTTCATAATGGCAATCTAAAATAATTTTTTTTCAATTCCTTTTCTCCTTTTGTTCCAATTCTCGTTCGTCTCCTCACCCAAATTCAAACGTTGGCTTGAGAGGGAAAATTGACATTAGTCTCCCACAAGGTTCCGTCAAATTCTTATTTTCCATTTTTTTTTCAAATTACTGTTTTATTCCTTTATTTCTTAGGCATATTTCATTAAAGTTTACTTTAAAGTCTGATACTATCAAAGGAACATAAACAATTTATACACGATAGCACAATTCTGTCGGATGTTCCATATCCTCTGATTATCTCAACGAAATACATTTAGCTAACCAAGTTCCATTAAAGCATTGTGATTTTCCGAAAATACATAACAAGTTCGCGCGAAATTGGTAGAATTTTTTAACCAAAACCAGCATGCATATACATCTGCCCTTTAGGAAATTTTTAGGACATGGTACTCCATACTTTCCACTATTTGGGTGATAAATATAAACATAAAACGTGAATAAACCTACATTTTATTTGAAATTAAAATATTTATGCAAGCTCTACCTTTCTAAATCAGGCGCATTCACATCTAACAATAAGTTCTTTCAAAATTAACCGTTGGTCCCTCTATTAAGGTGCTTCAAAATTGAGTGCAACAGTGTAAATAACTCTCAGATCAAATTAGAAAATGGAAAGATTTATACGTTGTCATCACTTTGTGGAGAGCGTAGGGTATCAAAAGGCTAGATATTCGTGACTCATTCGGTAAAACAGTAGTCAATTCCATCTTAACTGCTCATTTGTATGTATGGATTTCATAATCATAGCATTTATACAAACATTATTAATTCGAATGTTTGAGCAGAGCAATGAACGAATTAAAAGTTAATACGAGTTAAAATACAAACCGCTGGCGTTTAGAATGCACGTAAGTGGGGCGACGATGGATAAATTTGTTCACACAAACAAAAATGCACATATTATCTCATCTAAAAAAATTATGATAATAGAAAGCTCAACGAAGCTAAGGTTGGTTTCTTAATATGTAACATAAATAGAGCATCATAATCCTCAAAACCAAATGCTGAAATTCCTACCTAAACTATAGAGAACGGCAGATTAGCATTATGCTACGGGAGACAAGATTAAAGCATTACACACTATACAAGCAATGTCATATAATATTGATCATCGTAGAAGCAGGAAGAATGTAAATCCCAAAAAGTAAGTCAAAATAGAGGCAATGGCAATCTGCTTAGCGACAATCTTATCGAGTGAGGAAACAAAATACCACAGTTGAAGCCACGACATGAGAAGATTCATTTACCACAGTTGAAACCACCACAAACGGAAAGAACAATGATGAGAATCAAGGCAATAATGATTCCCAGAACAATTAGCTTTATCTTCATATTTTGGAACCACATCTTTCTCCTAATCTTGGTTCCCTGTTGCCTGAAATCTTGAGCCTGCAAAATCAAACAAGTAAACAAGTCACAGGAAAGACAAGCAATGATGTTTTTCAGAAGAATGAAAAATAACAACAAACTTTTAAGATTTAAGATTTAAGATTTAAGTTTAAAGTGCTCTCTAGATAGTCACTGCAAGCATAACAATTCAACATTGGAAGGTGAGAAAAGAAAAAAAAAAAATACTCAAACACCATAACTTATGCATACAGGTACAGGTGTTAAATCTCAAAATGCTCACTGACACTACAATAGACAGGCTTGCCTTACCAATGACTTCTATTTAGAAACATACACACATAGGGCAATTTAGTAGTTTGGTTTTATCAGTGACCAAATTCTCTCAACAACCCTGCATAATGCATACTAAATTCATCTTAAAAGAATCTTATAATCGGGTAAAAAGTGACCCACCACAATGTTCTCCTATATTAATCTTGTTGGCTTATGATTTATATTTGAGTTGTTTGTTGCACCTGTCCAAGACCATGTCTATTTCGTTTGAAGTTTCCACAAACGGGTGAATATAGATGGATGGAATATTATTAGCATTCATATGTCAATTAGTAGATTCCTGTGTCTTAAGATATTGATGGGGGGTGTTTTGGACCATCTATAATCTCTGCTAATAAGAGACACCCAGTGCACAAGGCTTCCACTACCATCTATAATGATCAATTATTTAGCATTTTTACAGAATTGCTGAAAGATACTTAAAATGCAACACAAGCAACCAATGGACCTGAGAGCGAAGGTTCTCTGTTTTATCCACCAAAAGCTCAATTTTCTCCCCTCGGTCAAGAACCTGACAAATACGATATAAAATGTTACAGCAACATACCAGTCAAGTTGACAAAATTATACAACTTCAAATTCAATTCAACCCTCTCCATCAATGCCCAAAACCAAAGAAAAATAAGACTAATGGGAATTTTAGCCCAAGGAAAAACTTTTAACCCACCCACAGCAAGAAAAGATAAAATCTATTTGCATAGCTTCCTGCCAACAAGGGAGATAAAATGATAAATGTTTTACCTTCTCAATATTTTCCATCATAACTCCTTTGACTTCTGTAACCTGAGCTTTCACTTTAGCAATCTTGCTAATTTCCTCTGGGTGATCAACACAATACTGCATCTGCTCCTTCAACTTGGGTCTAAATCAAGAATATCAAATACTTAAAATTTAACAATACTGGATGTCATCATCACAAGTATTAGCAATAAAAAATTGCAGCAGACATGTATACCCAAACTCTTTGTTGAGGCTATTAGCAGCCGCTGTTGCTGCTTTTCCTCCTGCATATTTCTTGGTAAAATCCTCCTTGATTCGTTCGAGGAAAGCAATTGGAATCTGTCGTCCAACAGACTCAACTGCAACAACACAGTAAGCTGCAATGTTCAAAAGACATTTAGTTAGTTCCAAATAACAGTGATTATAACTTCAGTATAAAAAGGAAAACAAAGTTTCACAAAGAAAAAATAACGTTTCAAAAATAAAATCAAACGATCAACAATAAAGCCAAAAATAGTCATTTATAAATTCCATATAGCACATTTCCTAAACAACCAGATGCATTCTACTCCAAGTTCCAACCCTTGCAATTTAATAAGTTTTCCTCAATTTTCCTTTCTAGAAACAAATAATGTTGTTACTACAATTATAAACGATGCAGTGTCATAAATTAAAAAAGTAACAGAACAACTACATCAGATGGAACGCAAGAAATTATGAGATACACCTACAAGAACAACAAGGCAAACAATCCAATTTTCAGTAGCACAGATTTACTTTTACTTCTTCGGTTTTCACTTTTTTTCCTCTCATTGTACCAACAAAGCCATTCGAAGATTTCAACAAGAAGAATCAATCTCAATAGTTAACCTAATCAAATCAAGCAAAGCACACCGAACACCGAAGGCTATTTTTTAATTACCATTTTCTGCATGCGGATCAAGATGTAACAAATAGCGTAAATTCAAATCGAAGAATAAACAAGGCAAAATCAGAAAACGGTTGCAGATCAGCAAAATAAGTACACTAGAGAGGAGGAAATAGTTACTGAATCCGTTATCGACGAGGTAGTTGAAGGTGTGGCCATCGCAGTTGTAGGTGAACCTGTTGTTGGAGGAAGGAAGTTTCTGGAGGCACTGCGCCGCCACGCCGGTGAAATTTCCTGTGAACTCAGTGAACTCGGCCAGGATCACGGTGCCGCGAGCGACGAAGCTGTAGATCAACGATTGCTGTCCCATCGCCGGAACCACAACCGTAGCAGCACCAACAACGCAGCGAGAAGAAGAGGAAAAAGGTAGCGCTGTCGATGAGGAGAGAGAAAGGAGCGGCGGTTCTGGTTCTAGAGAGAGAAGGTACTGAAGAAGGGGTGAGGCTTCGTTCTTCAGTTGTACAAACAGAAAATGTTGATGAGAGAGAAGAAGAAAGTGGTGTTTTATTATCTTGGCTTAGACGGGAAGCAAGCGTGAAAGGGAAGAAAAGCGAGTGTGTGCTGTTGAACTGCCCGGAGTTTGTTCATTATTACGAAAATGCCATTATACTAGTATTCGTGTTGCTTTTCAAATTTTGTTGTTGGAATTTTTCAAATGAGCAAGGGAGGTTAAGAACGGTAGCCATTCTCTAGAACATCTCATTCATGTGGGAGTTTTTAGCACATCTTGGGTTTGGGATTATTTTAACTTTGTAAAGTCATAAAATAAGGTGATTTACGTTTAATTTTTTCTTAAATATAAATTACTAAAAACTTTAATATAAAATTATTAATCCTGATAAAAATTGTATCTTTTTTTTAATTAAATGTGTTTTTGAACTAAATATAATTCTAACTTAATAATTATTTGTGTATTTTTTATGTTTTAGAGTATTTGATAATGTGCTTATTAGGGATGAACATTCATAGACAAGTCAACTAAATCTGCATCAACTAAGAAGAAAAAATTGTGCAATAGGTGAATCTAAGTGGGTTTTGAATTAATAATTTAAAAAATTTAATTTGTAATAGATACATAAGGTTAAATTCAATTTTAGATTTAAGATTTTTGGTCATAAAAAATGCATGTTATAATATTGATTCTAATATGTGTACAACTTATATAGATGGAGACACGAAGTTGATGAAGATGGAAACATTTGTCCTACTAGATTCATGGGATAGGCATGAGAGAATGATACGTGAGTAAGTGTGCGTGAGAGAAGGAACAACCTCTCTCTACTTGAATTGTTTGCAAACTTAAAAGATCCATAAATTAAATTCAATTGAGAGAGGAAAACACATATTTTTATCTTCTATTCTCAAATACATTGCAAAATCGTTGCATAAAGATTTTTTTATCTTTCATTCTCATTCTTTTGGCAACCACCTTCGTTCTCCGATGTTAGTTCTCCTCCATGCTCTACTCAATTATCCAAAAAAAAATCACTCATCCAATTCGCTTGTCATCTTAAGTAAGACTCGCTCAATCCAATAGATGTCTCAAATGAAAATAGAAGTTGATATGTCCTAATCAGTTTCCTTTGATTTAGAGATTTTTCATCCAAATTCGACTAGTGTCCACCCCTAAACTGCTTATTATGCTTAATTTAGCGATCGGAAACAATTTTGAACAACATTAAGAAATTTTTTTATTTTGTCATGAAGAATGTTTACTTTTATTTTTCATTTTTTTAATCAAATCTTGTTGGTGTATAGTGTTGGACTCAAACCCCTTGATAAAATATATTCAAATGGTTAGAATAAACACACTTTTAATTAAAGTGATAAAAAAATATTTTAATTATATATAAGAATAATTTTGGTATAATGTAAATGCATTTTATATTATTAATTAATGAAAATATATTGTAAAAGTTTAACACATTAAAAAATATTATAGATTTGCACTCCACTAGAGTTTTGCGAAAGAAAGACTCTTTTAGACCTTTATTAGGGTCTCATTCTTTTAAACCTTTATGAGGGTTTCATTTATGATAACACCTTATTCTTTTAGGACTTGCTGGATAACCCTTAATCAAGGGTAGAAAATAGGTAATCATGTTTAGTAGATCGAAGGGAGTGAGTGAATTATTCTTAGTGTTCAAATTTTTTCCAAAGCTATATTATTACCCTCGATGGAGATGACGGAGAAAACGACCATGGAGGAGGTGGATTTACTAACGAGAAGAAAGAAGAAAATTAAGATCGATAGTACCTTGCTGGAAGAAGATAAAGTGGAGTCCATGGAGGAGGAATTAATAGATCATCCTGTTCGAAATTAAGGGACCTCTAACTTTTTTAATGTTAATCGTCTTTCTTTTAAGGATTTACTTATTGTGCTAGAGGGATTAAACCTACCTTTAAGAGATGATGAGATACTTTCATCACTAATGAAAGACTTTAATATACCTTTAGATGATGAGGAAGAGGTTAAAAAAAGTCACAAAATCTAATCAATTATGTCCTAATCTTAATTTTTTTTTTAGATGACTATGAACATAAGTGTTATCCATGAAAAAAATATATACTTTAATAGTTAAACTTTAAGAGAAATCAGTTTCTTTGAAATATATGGATAATAAGCCAAAAACTTTGTGGGGTAGAATTAAGGATTTAAAGATGGTATTAAAGGTTCATTTTGGTTAAATTTAATAATAGAGGGGATTATCAATTTGCAACTTATTTTATATCATTATTTTATAGAACAATGTTGGCAATCTCTTTTAGGGCCTAAGATCAACATTTTAGGAAAATTGCAATCTAGGTTTGTATCTAGACTGCCTCTTGAAATATATAAATGGTACATCTGATATAGCTTAGGAATATCAGGATATAGATTAAAGATGGATATCATTTTAGTAAAGGAGAATAAGAATAATAAACTTAATTATCTTAAAGATAATGAACAAAATCATGTTGGTCCTTGGATTATGATTGAGGCCTCTTAGGAAAAAAAAAATTGACCTCTAATAAAAATATGAACTTACAAGTTGTGAGTAATAATCCTTCAAATAATTTTCTTGTCTCAAGGTTTGAGGTCCTCCTAAACTCAAATGAGAAGGAAAATAAAAATAATAAGAATCTTATAGATCATGGAAAGTTTGTTCATATCCATTCTCAAAAGAATAATAACTTTGATCTAATTATTATGAAAATCTTAAGAATATAAAATCTAACAAAATGTTTAAAAATGAAGAACAACTTGACAATTGGGAATATTATATTGATCAGGAAGTAATCCCTCTTAATAATAAGGTTGAGAATAGAGAGGTACTTAATATGGTTTTAGATAATATGAAAAAAATTAAAGATAGAGAGGTTCTAAATCTAATGAGTAGCTTTGCAAAAGTTTATAGAAATTATAAGAAGGATGGTTATATGAAAAGTCTGACACTTGATATAAATCAACTAATAGGTCTCTTGACTTAAATAATAATATGAAAATTGTCAAAAATGATTTAAAAAATAATTATAATATAGATTATATGAACTCTTATGTGAATCTGAATAAAAAATTTGTTTTTACAAGCATTCAATATCTTCAACATGTGGCTAATTTCTTATCCTAAAATCATGAATGGTTTATTTTAGAATTGTTAAGGAGTTAGTAGTAAATCTTTCCATGGGCCAGCAAATGACATAAATAATATATATTCTAAATTTTATTGTTACTTAAAAAAAACTACCATTGCTGAAAAAAAAGTAAATTTGATCACTTAAAAAATAAAATGTTTTAGATGTATTAAAGTATATAAAATAGGTTACTCAAAGGGTACTTAATGTTTTTGAAATTCCAATAAGATTAAGATTTCAATTTTATCAATCTCTAGATATGCTATTCTTATCTAAGTTTATTATAGTTGTTTAAATTTATGACTATTGTGTGCTATATGTTATGTATGCTAACCCATAGAAACATTGAAGGACAAGTCTTTGTGAAGAATAGTCAAATCTTAAGATAACCTTTCTTGGTGTGTGAGGAATTATTTTAACACTATTAAAGGTCAAATTTGAACTTTTTTTATCTCATATTCATAAACCTTTTAAATTCTTAACTTATGACTTACCTATAATAAATTTCTAGTCAAGTTAAGAAATATTGTTCTTTGACTAACTCTTGGATTAAGAAAAGTAAGTTATTTATGTTTATTGAACTATTTATTTTATTATTTATAAATTTAGCATATTCATTTAAGGATTTAATTTTATAAGCGATTGTGATATTATGTATTAATTAAATTTAAGTATCTTATAAGATAATAGATATTAAAACTATTTAAAGTTATAGATATGAAGCACCTATACTTTCATTTATAAAGTGTAATACTTATAAATAAGTTCTTAAAAAATAACAAATTCTCAACCAAGATATTTTCTAATATGTGTGGAGTATATATAAAGAAGGAATTATAGTTTCGATATTCTTAGTTCGTTCGGCACACAAAGAACAATTATGAGATTAAAGGCAAATTATGATGTCACGAACTGTTAGCATTATCTTCATGTTCTGAAGCCACAACTTTCTCCTTAACTGGTTTCTCTGCCCCGCAAAGCCATATAAATTGACACACCAATTACAACATCCCACAAGCATTTTTTTATGTAATCAAAATAACAATCAAGTGTAGATGCAAACTACTCAATAATACTTTAGGCACGATATTTTCCCTAAAAGGTACCCTTTGGACTAAAACCTTGCAAGCAAACACTCTTGATGAGTGAGAGTTGCATTGAAATAAATTACGAGACACGGTTGGTTTGTAGAAAGGGTTCTAATTCTTATATATTGTTACATCATATCATTCATTTTTGTTCCTGTTATGGATACATCCACTCACTTTTTCATTACTAAGGTCTCTAGCTCTACCTTTTCTTGTCTTTACGTCTAGCTAAAGTATTCTTGATGAAGTTCCAAGTTTTCTTCTATTGAGGATGAGAGAGTAGGTATACAATGACACTCTGACGATTAAGCAAGTAAGTATTCGGTATAAAATAATAAATATTATTTAATACTCTTTTTTATCATTCTCCATTTATCTGTCTCTCTTATTTTTCTTTCATAGGCAACATATTTGGTGAGTTTTGTGGGCTTGACAAGTCAATCCTAGATTAAGTATCTGACAATTCAAATAACTAATTTTTTCATTATTGCTTACTTAACTTAATCACACTATTAATTTATTTTAAGGTGATCGAAGAGATGGTTGATACCCTTCGTCCTCTGATGAGGCCGAAGGAGTTGTTGATACCTTTCGTCCTAAAATGAAGCAAAAGGGATGGTTGTCACCCTTCATCCAAGGGTAAGGTTGAAGGGGTACTTAAATCCTTTAAGCTTTGGCACCCTTCGTCTAAAGGTAAAGTATTCAGCTCCTTGGGAGTGACCGAATAAGACTTTATCTGATATAATTTTATTTATTTTTAGTTATTTCTTCTTCTTTTTTTCTCTTACGATGTATACATTTTCTTGAGTGTTTACTCATATTTTCCTACATAAATTTCATCAACAATAAA